TCTCAGATCTGTACTTAGTGTCCTTTTTGTTGTTAGGGATGAGGGATGGATAATATACCCTGCCACGTCCAGTCTGTGTTTATGTTTGATGTTTTTTTGCTTTGTATCCATCTGATGAGTTAAGCCTTTTTAACTGATTTTTATAGTTTGTTCTTATGGTGTGCTGTTACACCACTGTCCCAAGTTAGGGAGAGGGTTGAGCGCTCACAAACATGTTTAACCCCGCCGCATTCTTTATGTGCCTGTCCCAAGTCAGGAGCCTGTAGTTCAGTGGTTGTCGTTGGTTCATGTCTGTCATATTTGCCTTATCGTTAATTGTGTTGTTATAAGTTAGGCTGTTAGTTTTCTCAATTGAATTGTTTCATATTTTTCATGTCGGTCCTTTCATAGCCGACTATACGGTATGTGGTTTTCTCATTGTTGAAGGCCGTATTGTTGCCTATAGTTGCTTAAATCCACTTTATTTGAATTTGGTGGATAGTTGTCTCATTGACAATCAAACCAATCTCCTTATTTTTATATGAACTAGCTTTAAATAACAGCGAGTAATCTAAGATTTGTACTTTGTGTGCCTTATTCTTTATGTGATCGTTTTTGTGCTTCGATGAGTTATATTCAGTTCCAAGTTTGTTCTATGTTGTACTTTTATACCACTCTTCGTGGTTAGGGGTGGGTAGTGCGTTCAGCAAACATGTTGAAACTAACCACATTCGATATTTGCTTGTACCAAATCAGATCATGTGATTCAGTGGTTGTCGTTGATTGCTGTCTGTCATATTTGTTTTTCGTTTATTGTTTTCCCATAAATCAGGCCGTTGATTTGTTAGATGAGCTTGTGGCCCATGTTCAGCTCAACTGGCCCACAGAGCTTTTCCCATCACTTGGCGTCCTTCGTTTGTAGTCATCTTCCGTCATCTGTCGTCGTCGTAGAGACTTTTACAAATATCTTCTCCTCTGAAACAATTGGGCCAAATTTAACCAAACATGGCCGGCCACAATCACCATTGGAGTATGATGTTTAAAAATTGTGTCCAATGATCCCGCTTGCCAACCAAGATGGTCGACAGATGGTCGACATGGCTGAAAACAGAACATAGGTGTGAGACGCAAGTTTTATCTATTATTTTGAAAACCGCTATGAATGGAGAAAATCTGGCAGGGCACACATGTTTTGAATGTACCTATTGTCTATTTATGTGAAAACTGTCAGACGACGGCTAATAGGATTTTTTCCCTTGAATGACACATTATAACATTTTGACTATAATCTTGAAAATTATAAAAAAATAGAGAGAAACTTCAAAAAGCAAAAATTATCAGTAAGACAAGATCTTCAAATAAGTATATCGCCGAAATTGTCAGCAGGACTTCTTGCTCTTTCATGAAAATTTTTACAAATTTTCAGTGTTTTTGCCTATAATCTTGAAAACTATAGTAGGTAGATAGACAGTTTTCTCAATTGAATTGTTTCTTTTTTTTCTTGTCAGAGCCAAGTTATGGGTCAAAACCACCTTGTCAACTGCAATGGGGCATATCATATATGTAAAAATTATATTAATTATAACATTAATAATAATGATGATAAAATAATGCTAAGTCACAGAACCGATCAAGTGTTCTTGAATAATTCATATAAACAAATTACAAAAAGTAATTTTTGTTTTAATCTTTGAGGTTTTCAGTTACCCATATGTCGTTTAGCAAGCCTAAGGCAAAATTGAGTTGATACTCTTTTCGTTATTTTATTCCGGGAAGTTCTGTTAATAGTACTAAGTAAAGATCGCCTATTTACACTCTGAAGTTCCTTGCGGATGTAAACCCAGTCAGCCATTAATTAATACATTTTTGATTGACCTGGATAACATACAATTCATCTTAATGGCTGGGCATGAATACTGATTCAAATAAAAAATGAAAGATAAAGCAATTTCTGATTGCATAACGGTTGTAGTAACCGGCTGGAATGATTGGCAATAACTTTCGCGGGATATTTCAAATGTTTTATTGAGAAAATTTAAACACTGATGCTTATAAAGATAAATAACAAATTGTATTTGAAAAATTGTCAATAAAAATTCATTTGCGACTTTCAAATACCCAATTGACGTTACCAGCGCTAGGGATACAGTCTTGTTATCCTTATTTATATAGTGTATAACGAATGTAAATATATTTTTATTTATATTTCATAGTTCAAGAACTGTAGTTGTGTGTGGAAATTTCCATTGTATGATTTTAAAATATGATGTTTCATTGCTTAAATACACACTGTTGATAAATGTGTCAAGATCAAAAACAGATTGAGAAATAACCTATCCAAAACAAAAGCTACATCCTTCTATTCAAGATATGATTCCTTGTCATATTCATCGTCCACTGTTTTATTTCTAATAGATCAATTAAACAATTAACTATTCATATTCGATCATTGAAATGCTTAATGCTTGTTCCAAAAGTAGTTTGGGTTTGCAATAAATTTTAAATGTATGCTAGTATTCCAACATATATTAAGTAAAAAAGTAGTTTAACAAGAAAATAATATGCGTTGTAGGCAAAACTTAATTTGAAATAATAAGAAAAAAACACACCTAAATATGAAGTTATTTATGTAATTATATAAACTTTTGTTGGACATTAGTGTGTGTAATACGCTTAGGTGCTATTTCCTTTGTTCTCTTGTTCAAATATGGTTATGACAATCGTAGTTGATTTTAAGACCATTACGTAACCAATAACTTTTATCATTGGACATACAAACTTTATCAAAAATACCAAGTTTAAATTTGGTACGACATATGAGCGTTTCGTCGACATTAGACTTATCAGAAGCACTCACATCAAAACAGTTGTAAGGACAAATAAAAAACGAAGTTAACGAACACTAAGCATCAAAATTTCCGAAAAGTTTTTCAATACGACTGATGGAAAGGACAATAGTTATTGGCCCAACTACAGAAAATTTAGGGCAAGGTTTATATTAATGTTCTATATTTTTTTTGTTTGTTTATTACTGCTACTCCACGAAACCGTAATAGATATAAACAAAACATGTTTTACTCTGTTGATTTTATACGACGTTTATTCAATAACTAAATTGTAAGTTGTGACATATCGTAACTGAAAACCTTGGGTCGAAATGGTTTGGGAATATATTATAGTTTTCTCTTCTGAAATGTTTAAAAGTCGATGTATGATGATATAAATCAGAAATAATACATAGCAAAACATGCCTTGAATTGAAATAATTTCTGTATGGCTTTGCAATAGGGGATTTAGCCGAATGTCATTTGACGTTTTATATATTTAGTTTTTTTACTTCTTTGACATTGCAGAATATAGATACAACTGATATGGTGTAAAGTGTTTTGATGTTATGGCAAAGTTCAAACAAATCCGATGACATTAACAAAAAATATTTCCCTAGTATTTTTAAATTTAATATGTATTGGTTACAGCTTCATATTGTTATATTATAATGCTAGCGACCTATTGCATTAGTTACGGAGGAAGTGACCTAGTGTAAACTAGAGGTAGACATTTTTGCACTTGTACCATGAGACAATATTTTCTGGATTCAAAATATATCAACCTTTGAAATGACGCCAAACATGAGATTGTGTAAATAGGAAGAAGAAATATATCCAGAGCAAAGGAACATACAAACCGTATATTTTATGAATTAGTGCTAAATGAGCTATGACATAAAGTGATATTTTAATGGTAATTAGCTGACAATCTTTTTATGGAAAATACCTACAAACTTTTTGTTATCTGTTTAAAATTAGCTATCTTTTTACAACAGAAGTGACGTGATTTAACGCGAAGTTACTACATGTATATTTCTCTGAACCATTGGCAAATCTACAATTGGTTTTTGATGTCAAGATGTAAGAATCTTTTTTGAAAATTAACTGAAATTTGAAAATGAAAATAAAAATATAACTACCACCATACTGCAAAATGATTTAATATTTACTACTAGTATATATAAACTCATCAAACATATAGAAGATACATGTGAAGTGCAACATCTCAATTGAAAATAAAAAATGGCTGATCAGAGGAGTGCTATTCCAAGCCTACTAACCTGATTTGTTTGTCGGTTTATATTCAGTTAAGGTTGAAAAACATTTAAATAAAATATTTCTGAAATCCAATGACGACCAATAGTCATTTTCTTGGTCATAAAAATCAGAATCATGAATTACCTATGGGTGCCTTGTTGTTAAGCCATTTGGAATAAAATGAAGATCGTAAATACATGAATTATAGTAGGTGTCATACATCATATTAGCAAAGTGTTTACAAAGTAATCGTATGTTGTTAGTATGTTGTAATTCATGATGGGGACCGCAAATTCTATAGTGTCAATTTCAATTTATCTACCATATAACACTATCAGAGCAGTTTTTGTTCCAGGAGCAAAAATGAAGTCCGTATAGTGTTCCTATGCACGAACGTAACGTACGAAAAGCGATGTGTAGAAAAGGAACACTAGGAAGGGGCAGTGTGTATGTTATTGTTGATAAATGGGAAGTTGACATTGGAATTTGGAAATATTCATTGTAATAATTCTAGATTGAAGTCGTCAATCGGTCTCAAAATTTAGAAAAAATCAAGGAATGGTACCGACTTTCTTGTTTCGATATTATTCACTTTGATACTACCGAAACAAGAGCATCGGCTTTATCGGAAACCACTTGGATTAACAATTCAGATTGTTTTAGAGCATACATGTCGATTTTTTTTGGAATGTTAAGTACCCTCACCACATATAATGTGTCATGCCCAATTTAGGAAACCTTGTCAGAGTAACTTACTGAACGCTTGTGGCAATATTTAATTCGACTAATCAGCAAATTATAACTGGCCATGAGCTACACCTCAGGTTTTACTAATCGAGCAAGAGCTGCTGATTATTCCAGAACACATAATTTCTACCCTTTCGTTTTTTTAAATGGTCCGTGTTTATATTGCGGCTTGTTTCTGTGATATTTTATCTATAATGTCTTATCTAATATATGCCTTCAAATATAAAGACAAATCTACATATTATCATCAACTGTGTGACGCCGTTTTACCGGTCATGACAACGGATACTAGCAGGATATTAACCATATCTTTTATTTTTATATCAAAACGCTTGTGTGTACACTATTTGTATGTATAATCCCCTATTGTTGCTTGATATGACATATGAAAATGACATATTATTATTGAATCTGAAATGTTAACCTATAATTTCTTTTTTCACTATAAGACCATGTACATAAAATTAAACAAAAGCAGAGAGTAAACACATAGGAAACGATAACTGGATAGTCAAACATGTGACCAATGCATGTAGTAACTTTACAGAACATGTTAATATGAAATTGCGAAAATAGCAGAAAGGAAAACTAACATCTGCAAAAACCACAAAGACATTCGCAGCTCGTTTCCCATGGCCTTCTGTGCCGCCGTTGCATGATACTGCACTACTGGTATAACGCCGTAGGTCGCTATGGAACACTGGTTGTTATTGTTTCTAGACATTTTTATGTAGCCTTTATCTCCCCATCTGTTTCCCCAGCTGAAATAATATAATAATGGCTTATTAGTTCTTCAAGTTAAATTGGTATTAAAAAAAGTAAAATAACAAAAATACCGAATTCCAAGGAAAATTTAAAACGGAAAGTCCTTTAACAAATGGCAAAATCAAAAGCTCAAACACATCAAACGAATGGAAAATTAAACAACTGCCATACTCCTGACTTGTGCATTACACTGAAATTATTTAGCAAAACGCTTCTGGCATTACCAACCCTAACATACGAATGTAATAAATTATTCGTAAATGCAAAATGCATACATTTTTAAACAACTTCATTTCAACTATTTCCGTCATAAAGACATTATACTGTATAACAATACTAATTGATGACAATAAGCAATGTTCTACCTGTTTTTTACTAGCCAATAATCATTTCCACCATATGTATCATATCCAACTACCAGTACACAATGACTTACTCTTTTTCCATAACAGTTTGGTTCGTTGAAAACACCTTTGTCCAAAACAAACATATATATTACTTGTTGATTTATTACAAAAACAAATATTAATTTATGAAGAATGAAAAAAAAATCTATATATATTATCACTAAAATATCTGCTACTTAGCCGGAATGAGTCTATCCTGCTTTTAAAATTATCTACTTGCATATATGTATTTTCCAAATCTTTTGCTGTTTTTTTTATTCAGTCACTTTTCATGAGATGCATTAGCATAGTTATTTTACTGCACGGTCTCGTATTGGAAAAGTTAGGGTGGAAAGATGTTTTATGTAATTTATTAAGATTATAAATAACGAGATATTCGAAATACGTTAGAAAAGTTTCATAAATAACGTAATCACAAAGAACATTACATAACGGCAACAGTAGTATACCGCTGCTCAATAGTTATTATTCGATTAAGCAAAACAAATCCGGGTAACAAACTTAAACCGAGGGAAACACCTCAACTATAAGAGGAAAACAACGGAACAACAGAAAAATTGAACTACAACAAAAACAAACGCCAACATACATAGAAACGGACTGTCTGATAACAAATGCCATATTCCTGACTTGGTACAGGACATGTTAAGAAAAAATGGTGGGTTGAACCTGGTTTTATGGCTAGCCAAACCTCCTGCCTATATGGCAATGTTTAAAATACCGCTAAAATGACAACACTACGTGACAGGAATACAGTACAAACAAACGCAAGAACATTCAGCACAGAGAAGTACATACATGAATTATATAATAGTACATTACAACATGTAAACCTCAGAATAACGACCAAATGAATTTACGACAGCATACCAGGACACCACAAGAGAATATAAACTGCGCGTAACATGAATGGGTCAACGTCACAAAAAGTGACGTATTTTTTGTGACGTTTATATTATCACATGTAAATTTCTAAAATTAAAATAATTTGTTTTATTTATAGACACGTACAAGAATATTAAATTGGGATTGAGTTGTAATGATGTTATTTTATGTATTTTTTAACCATGACAAAAATATTAAAATGGAATTGTGTTTGTAATAGTGTTATTATTTGTATTTTCTAACCATATCGGTTATTCTTCTAAATCAAAACTGTGTATAAATAAAACAATCCTGTGCATATATTTGCTTTAAACTTAAAATCATATAAATGAAGTAGCTGATATTTTATCTTAACTTTAAAATACATATAGAAAATAAAAATAAAATAAAATTACTGTAAGATAAAGCAAGATCATGTAGAGACCAAACAGTAAACACACATGAAAACAAACGTTTAAAACAAAAACCCTGTAGACGAACCACGACGTAACTCGACTATACTGACAAAAAAGACATATGTGAAATGTACCGAAAATTTAGAATTCAAACCACAAACTAAATAAACAGACCACAATTCAGCACAAAATGACCCACTGGACCCACACGTATAAGAAAGTAACAATAAAATACTCGAAAGCGGGATATATAAATACCGAGACACGTCTTATAGCAATGCGAATTCACACTTGGCAAAACATATTCTAGAATAGGTCACGTTCGGTACTAAGCAGACCAGACGACGTAGATGGTAAACCACAATCTAAGACGTGGTAAAAATGTCGTTAGTTAGTTTACAGACACATCACTATATCATTGAACCACGTTTTTATGCTGTCTGCTACAGATTATTACTGTTATATCGCCTGATAATATCAACAAGACACCAACTGATTATTTCAGGTATTCTTTCATCACATACATACACACCTTGAAACTACTTTCGTACCATAGTGGCACGACAGTATCTTGATTGTTACAGTGTCTAATTTTCTTAATTCATGAAGCATATTTAAACTTGGTTAATCATCTGAACTTTTCAGTACATTAATCTCAAGTAAACATATGTGTTGTCATGTTTCTGGCTTTACAATATGATACCTTATTTGAATTTATACTTATGTCATTACTATACGAGTATGTGTAGTCTCTCGACGACAAACCCTTTCTGTCTTCTGTAAGAAGTCATTCAATTTCACTAATTTAACGCCCTTTGTAGTCTCCTTTCTACTTGTGATGTTTGAAGACATCTACTTGATAGTTTCCTAAGTGTAATGTGCTTCTTTGTCAAATACTTGCATTGTATAAACCTGATATTGCGATATTGACCAAACTAGTCAAGAGACTAACTGAAATTGTTTTAAAGAGAAAATGAAGTCGGTGACCCCATGTTTTTTTATCTGATTTTGTTCTAAAACTCAAGAAAATACCTAGACATAGAATTTGAAGAACGGAATAGATCGGTGATATGTAAAGAACGGCTATTGGTTTAAGATCATCTTATATAAGATAAAAAGGAAATGTAGGGTATAGTTATATCTCTTCGTGTGCTTTTTATCAATAAGATATTTGAAAATTTTGTCCCCGAGGACATCATCCTCCCAGTAGCCTTACACGCATGAATTTACAAAGATCAAATAGAATACTGGCTCGGACGTCGCCCAGTTTAAAAAGGTCCGAAACAGACGTCACCATGGACACGCTGTCGTCTGATATTACAGGTGGCTCCTCTACACTGCACATGACAATAATCTACGTACACAGCCGTGTTCAGTTCTTCTACAAGACATTTTGGATTTTGATGACTCTGAACAACACTGTCTCATTTCAAAATGTGAAGCCACAGGCTGCAAAAGCTGTGGAATTTTAATAACAGATGCTCAATTTACTAGCAATTTAACTAAAAAGTCTTATTTTGCTAGAAGTTACGATGATCTGAATTGTAAATCATCAAATGTCTTCTACGTATTAGAGTGTGACCTTTGTGGATTAGTATACGTCGGTGAAACGAAAGAAAGGCTAAATAAACGTATGTGAGGTCATAGATCAGACATCAACAGTGCTAACGACATTGCTTACCAGCATTTTAAATAGCCTGATCATTCAATCGTTTTCGTAGTTCGCATCATCGAAAAAAATATACCACCGACTAACAATCCTCATCTTGAACACCTCTCCGTATACAGAAAGAAGACTACTGGATTCGACAATTGGAAACTGCGACACCATATGGTTACAATGACAAAATTGATGGTATAGGTATTATATGTAGTGCTTCCTGTAGCTCGGTATATCTAGTGCTTCCTGTAGCTTGGTGAATATGATGAACATTTTCAACTCTACTCCTCGACGTAGACGCAGTCATGGTCATCGTCATTATACATCACCTACTCTCCATAATGTCTCTATTAATGACCTGCTGCCATTTATACAAAAGCCGTTAGGTATTCAACACATTCGTACGAAGCTTTATTCGTTATCCCTTTCAAAACTTCATTCTCTGTACAACTTATGGTGGGAAACCACTGTCACAAACCCTCTTTCAAACCAATACAAACTTACAGCTATAATTTCGGATATTGCAAGTTACTGACTTTTAAAACCTGTTCGCATTGGAAAGATGAATAAGAGAAAAGATCCTTTCTTAAACTTTCTCCTTTGCCAACAAATGTCTCGATGCCATCAACTTGGGCAAGATCCCTCATCATAAATTAGTTCACTCGAAAATACCTCCCTATTTTAAAGATCATTCTGTACCTATCATTTCTTGTACCTATACCAAACCAATTGCGACTAAACTTTTCAATTACAAACACGTGTTGCAGGATTTCAATATTGACGACTTCAAGTCTAAACCTCCTGATTGTATCTGTGCTAGTTCCCTATTCATATATAATCCGGCTGTCCACGTTATTACTGGTGACCTAAATATTGTCAATAACACTACTCTGCGAAATGTGTTATCCAAAGGCCCGAAATATCGTGCGCCTAAATCCATTAATTAATTGGAAACACAGCTTCAAAATACTGATGGATTCAGTCGAGGATTGTGTCAGGCAATCGGCTAAACGTGAGAAAGAAGACGTAGATACTCTTTCGGAATGGATTAAAGCTGTGAGGTCGTTAATACAAATCAGAATTAAGAAACTGAATGGGTCTATTATACCCATGCTACCTCAATCTTTAAAGACCCAAATGTTGCTAAACATTTGTCCTACCTCCATGACAAATATGTTGCTGTACCCGCAGATAAAGCCCCAAACAACATCGTTTTTGTGTGTAAATCACATTACATAAACTGCTTGATAAATGCATAAGGTATTGACAATTTACTTGGAAACTCAACATATACCACCACGACACATACTAAAGAGGAAATCAAGGATAATCATAGGTATGTTCTATGTTCCTTTGGAATTTCAACCAACGATGAAGAACTGGATCTTCCATCGCTGTATTGGTTCCCAAACTACGTAAATGTCCTTACAAACAACGGTTTATTGCTTGGTCTTCCAAGTGCTCCACTTAACCTCTTTCTAAATTATTAACATCAACTTTTCAACTTCAAAGTTATTGTGAAACTACCTATTCTAGAGGTGGAGTGAATCAGATGTGGATACTAAAAATTCCTAAGATCTTTTAGAGTACATACAATCTAAGACTCTTACATCTTGCAATAATATTAAAACATTTGGTATTTGTATACTTTACACAAGCAATCCCCATTCTAAACTAAAAGACAAATTGAGAGAGTTGGTAAAAGAATTACCAACGTAGATACAAGTATCTTGTCTTAGGGAGGGATAAATCCTACTTTGTAAAAAATCACTCTGATTTTAACAAAAAATTCTCTGAAACTGACATTATCAAGATGTTTGATTCCTTGATTGACATCATATTTGTTACTTTTGGAAGATGTGTTTTTCAACAAACAATCGGCATTCCCATGGAAACCAACTGTGCCCCTCTTCTTGCCGACTCGTTCCTGTATTCATATGAGACTGACATCATACAGGAACTTCTTAGGAAGAAAGAAAAGAATTTAGCAGTATCCTTTACCTTTACTTTCCGCTACATAGATAATGTTCCCTCACTAAATAAATCAAAATTTGGTGACTATGTTGAACGCATCTATCCCATCGAACTTGGGATAAAAGATACAACAGATATAATTAAGTCTGCCTCATATCTTGACTTACATCTAGAAATGAGGGTGGGTTAAAAAACTAAACTTTGTGCAAAAGAGATGATTTCAGTTTCCTAATTGTGAACTGTCCATTTTTATGTACAACATTCCAGCAGCGCCTGCATATGGAGTATATATCTCCCAGTTGGTACGATACTCCAAGACTTGTATTTCCTATCATAATTTCCTTGATAGAGGGTTGCTGCTCACAAGGAAGCTATTAAACCGAGAGTCCCAAGCGGTGAAGTTGAAATCATTCCTTCGTAAATTTTACGGACGCCATCATGAGTTGGTTGACCGTTATGGAATATCCGTTTCACAGATGATAGCAGATATGATCCTAATGTCGTAACTACAATCCCGTCCCCATTTCCCGAATGAGACCTACCGAAATAGACTTATTACCGGGTTTGAACTAACATGAGCAACACGACGGGTGTCACATGTGGAGCAGGATCTGCTTACGCTTCCGGATCATCTGAGATCACCCTTAATTTGTTTTTGGTGGTGTTCGTGTTGCTCAGTCTTTAGTTTAGTTTTCTATGTTGTGTTTTGTGTACTATTGTTTGTCTGTTGGTCTTTTTCTTTTTTAAGCCATGGCATTGTCAGTTTGTTTTTGACTTATGAGTTTGAATGTCCCTTTGGTATCTTTCGCCTCTCTTTTAACTATGGTGGTGAACAAAAATACCTGTATCAACCCATTAGTATAAAATTTCATCAAAGATACTTGGCTTATAATTATGTACAGCAGACGTTCGTTTCGTCTACATTAGTCTACATCAGTGGCGCTAAAACCTGAAAATTCCGAAAAGTTGTGACATATAAAGCTGAATAATTATACAGATACCTGTTTTGTATTGCTTGAACTTTGTGGTTATTTGAATGCAAACAGAAACTGGACCTTCAGTTGCAACAGTATGTCTGAGATGGTTCTCATCTCCTGTTTTGATTTTTTTATAACCCATGACAATTGTTTCTTCATTATTATTAGAATATACACAGGTTCCATCCTGAATGCAAAGAGAAAACACATAATGATGCTTTTACACTCAATGTAATTTACTTCTACGTTCGTCTATGTAAATTTAACCATTCCATTTATTGAGATAAAAAGACCCACTTGCTTTAAAGAAGTGTTAAAACAATCATATAGTCAGGTGACCTGGACTTTCAGAGTTACTATGACTGTGTCTATATTTATTTTTGCTTTTGCCGAGTCATTCATATCATACAGTAATGAAGTTAAATATTTGCATGGGAAGCACGCGTTCATGCTCTTTTTCTTTATTTAGAGTTCCTGTGATTTCATCAGTTTGTTTCTACCTTGATTTGTATCTTCTGAATGTAAACGTTAGATAAGAACATCGCTGTTGATTCTCTCATTTCAGCGATTTTGCAAATCCTTTATTTCGCTTTAGAAATATCGTTTTATAAACACGTCTAAATGTGATACATATCGCTCATTAAATTCGGTCGGGTTTTTTTTGTTATTTTAGCACATGTGATAGTACGTCCTGACACAATAAGTATACAGTTTGATAAACTAGATGTGTACATATGTAAGAAATATGCAGGTTCAAATGTCTTAAACAAAATGATTAAATTATTTACGAATAAAGCTAATGTAACTATTTACAAAATAAAAATACTCAACCAAACTACATAATGCGACAGGTTTCTTATGATTGTCACCAATGATTCTAATCTATCGAAGTATTTGGAAAACAAAAGAGTAATACAAAAGAATGGAAAATGTTTCCGCAATATTTATTGGTAAAGTATACTGGCACCATTTAAAATTTCAAAAAGTTGGTCAACGGTTCATATTTAGAAATAAGATAATTTGGTCGCCCAACTGATATTTATAACTAATGATTTGTCTCAATTTCAAAAACACTTCTTCGTGTTTTTGACAGTTTCAAGGGTACCATGTTTGACCTACACTAAACAAAAAGTCTTTTATGATTCTTCACAAGTCACGAGGAATCTGGTACATTAGTAGAAGCATTTGCAAGAGAAAGGACACTTTAATTTAAGAGGTGGTTACTTTTTTATGATAGTAAGCGATGCCATATACTCCCCAAAAGAGGATTACTTGCCTTTGTTTGGTAAGGATAAGACCATTCCGTGTCTATACCACCTCCATGTGTTTTTATCAAATCATTGTATGCCTTGTAAGGCCAACCTCCTTTGCACCCAGTGTTGCCTTAATGATAAAAACAAACAAAGCAGATACCAGACTTACATGTAAAGTAAAGTAAATATAAAAGATATAAAATTAGTGAGCCTGTTGAAGATATATTATTACTAATTGTCTGTAGGTACGATATATTTTGCCTGCAGAATTGTTTTTTAGCTATATTTTGCCTCTAATGTTAAACTTTGTTACTGTGTAACCTAACATCAGGTTAATAATATGCTTTGGTTATGTATTGAAACATGATCTTGTCTGTTTCATATTTGAATCATCAACAAGGATGCTACTTTTTCTTGTTGCCAATATCATTTAAAAAAAAATCTTTTTGACTATTTCATTTTTTAATCTGATAAAATAAGCATCTGAATTAATGTGTTTTTGACAGGTAGACCATTTTACGTAATTAAATAACATTCAGTTACTTATACTTACTAGATGAACAATCAACAAGCTGTTGTTCAGATAATGAAATGGGTTTTTTACGTTGTCCTTCGATGGCTCCAACGGCTGAAAATGCCCAGCAAGATCCACATGTCCCCTGTAAACATACACAAATAGGAAAAGCTTAAATTAAAGTAAAACACTTATTGATACTCTATGGTAATAAATGTTTTTTTATAACGTGATAATAATGCATACAAGTAAAACCAAAATTCAGAACTACAAGGTAAATTCAAACAGGGAAAGTTTGACTAAATCAAACGTTATTAACCAACGGAATGAACGAAAAACATCTGTCATTTCCTTGACTTGGTACACGCATTTTCTGAGGGTTAAACCTGGTATTATATCTAACAAAACCTCCACCCTTATGACAGCTTTTAATAGTTCCGGTATATTGACAAAATTGGGCGCGCAACCCAAAACAGACATAATAGGTTAATGTGGCAATAATTGGAACCCAGCAGCCAAAGCGGTGTAAACATATATTAGACACACAACATAATTGACTAAAATATGCAAACATATTATAATAGTAAATTAGTATATGGATTTCAACGCGCGACGTTAGTGGCAAGTTTATTATCGTTTCCGAATCAACTACTTTTTAACATTCTCTTAATTAACCAATTTCAGGTAAAATGACTGGTTTTTTTTGTTACTTTTTGATCAAATAATTAAAGGGATTTACATATAAGTAATTTCATATGTTTTTCTGTTTTATTCTTTAATGGTCGAAAATTATTATTACCACACGTTTCACAACTCTATAAAGGCATTCCATAAGTTACAAAAAATTCTGGAATTGTTCAGCGAGTGTTTTGAGTCATAGCTGTTAGACATTTAGTCAATAATTTGATATTATAAACCCAAATTGTAGCTGAGCTAAATTCAAATAGTAATGGTTTTTGAAGGAAAATAACATATAGGTCAATATGTACAACGATACTGATAAGGGGTAATTATTTACGAATTAGATAATTACTATCTTTTTGACAAATAGTTTGGCCAAACAAATTGCCCTCGTTAGTTTCAAACTTTTTCCCAATAATGCAACATGAAAATCTATTTGCACTGACGAAAGCCATTTGTTGTACCACAGAATAAGTCAATACGATATAATGCGTTTCCCTCAGTTTTAATTTGTAACCCGGATTTGTTTTTATTTCTATCGATTTATGAGTTTCGAACAGCGGTATACTTATGTTGCCTTTATTTACTTCATCTTATTCGAAGATAATGATTTTTTATCAGTATCGTTACTCATATTTTTAGACATAAATACGTATATGTGGTACTAGTGCCAATGAGACAACTATCCATCCAAGTCACAATGTGTAATAAAAAGTAAACAATTATAGGTCAAAGTACGGCATTCATCACGGAGTTCTGGCTCACAGCGAACAGCAAGCTATTAAGGGCTCCAAAAAGACTAGTGTAAAACCATTCTAACAGGACTAGTATAAATGTCAGTATACCACCAGTGTAACGTGATATGCCATCCATCAGAATATTTCAGTCATCAGTATATCTTTCGTCGTTCCACGTATTATCAAAACACTTTTAATGTAGATAGTGCAAAACCGCAAAAGTCTTTTTGCCATGCTGATAATTATGAAAATACAAATGCGACAAAATGCAATGGTCCATTAGGATATGTGCGCACACATCATGAAAGTCGGAAGTAGAATTATAACAAAGTTCGGAACACACCAATATCCAAGAATTGACATCATATACAAAAGAAACAAATGTATATTGCTTCGAATTTATCAATTGCGAAGATATTGGTATCGCAAAAACAGAGGATACGTGAAACAATAGACTGCGTATCCCTACTGTCATGTACATGCCAACAGCTATAAATGGAAATTATTATATTTTACAGTGTTGACCCAAACCATGTTTACACTAATATTTAGTAAACATTATGCTCTTTTATTTCAGGATGTCGTTATCGCTTTTTTGAAATTATTTATTTATTATTTATACATATTAAGGCATTGAGTTTGAGAATGCACTGTAGACGTTTAACATGTATACGAATAATAAAATTAATCTATCAAATTAATGAGCAATGTTTTATCAAAACCGCCAGTATGATTTAGTATTAATTGTACACTAGAAACACTGTATATTTCATGTCACAAATACAACACGTACCTGATTTTTAACTGATGTCACATATCCTGCTTTCATCCAATCTTTTGTTTCTGGGACATTTACCGAATTTGGGCTAACGGTTGTATCAACAAATACAATTGCAGGAATAATAGCCCCAGTCATTTGTTCAATAACCTCATCTATTGTCTGCAAGTCAAACAGTAAAAGTTTCTCTATTATACTAAAATTATTCAATTTTTTATTGGTCTCTTTTTTTTCTTTAATGAAAATTCGTTGATATTGTTTTTTTTTTTTTTTTTTTTTTTTTTTTTTGTGATTTGTTTCCTGAGGCTTTTTTTGTTTAATATGCTTCTGAAAATAACAAGATACTTTGTTTTTAATGTCGGTTTAAGCTATCATTTATTCATAATCATGTACTCCTGAAAACCATTTAGAAATACATGTACGAGGCTACTTTATTATTCCCGAATATTGTTCATACTTAATACTTAAATGTTTCTGCATCTCTCTGTGTTTTATTTTTTAAAAAGGTGTCTCAATCATCGTTAAAGTAATTTAAAATAACTTCTGCAGAAACACACTGCGCCATTTGGATTACTAGGAATTTCTACATAGTTGTTAGAATAAATGTTTGGTGCAAATTGGATGAGTAGTTGCAGTGAAGAAATATGTTTGTGTATTAATTTTACGAAGATTTATGTCAAAGATAGTACTGAGGATTGCAAGATACATTTAAATAGTTGGCATCATTACGATTTGCATTGTAATGATGGACCTGTCAATTCATTCAAAAATATATGAACATGATGAATAAACGGAGAAGTGGAATATATAATTGGATTGAATATTAAATCAGCAGCTCTTGGACTAAAGAACAAAATGGAAGGTGTGAATAAAATATGGTTGCAAACAAAAGACATTTGTCTATACAATATTCGAAGTGTTAAATCAAGTCCCCTTCGATTTTGATATCACCTAATGAGACTTATCACCGAACGTGTACTTGCCACGTGCAACATGATAGGTGCCACATGTGAATGGGATATCTTTACCTTTTCGGGTACCTAATATTATTTTGTCTTTTTAGGGGAAATATGGGGGTGTTGTTCAGTTTTTAATTTTTATATGTAGTGTTTTGTAGACTGTTGTTTGTCTTTTTGTGTTATTAATTTTTTTAATTTTCAATGAATTTATCTTCGACTAATGATTACTTATTATTCAACAGGCAACCACCGAAGAGGTTTCATACTTGGCAACTTGAGAAATGAATGGCAACTTCTGATCTGATTTTTGTCAGAAAAAAAAATGTTTTGCTATAAAATACTTCTTACATTGAATGTTTATATATACACCTTTTAATTATTCTAAACTTTAAGACAGATTGAAACAATTCATCGTAAAACAAAATGCATGTGGTCAATGCAAATACACATGTTATGTATTATGGCGAGACAAATCATACTTCTTAAACAATAAATACTCTGATTCAAGCAAAATGTTCAACACAATTGACATCATTAAGATGCTGGATGTTTTATTGACCCTTTGAAGGACGTATATTAACAGACAGTCTGCATGAGCTTTTCAACACATATGAAAAGAAGCTACCATTACCTCATGTACCTTTTAAATGTACATCCTTTCGCAGAATAATTCAAAGAATATTTTGACTTGATCTGTCCGCTTGAAATTAAAAATAGGAATACCACGGATACAACAAAGTCTGCTTTATGCCTATTTTCATAATTTTGTTGAGTGTTATTACATGTATGCGTTCGAGGTGACTAGAGATATGTTTTACTTTTCGCAACCATAATACGATTGTTACATAACTGAATGTTACTTATTGCCGTAATTTTACTTACAACGAGTAACAGCCTGATGATTCAAAAATGAGACAGGAGCTGTTTACCCTTCCTTAGCATCTAACTATTAAATTGACCAATCTATAGTCTTCTGTTATTTGTGTTTGCCTTATCCATGGTATCGTCGTTTTTTTGTTTGTTTTTTTTTAATTCGTGTTTTCAGATTTATTTTACTTTTTGATATCTGATTGTTCTCTTGACATATGCATATACTATGTGTAAACATTAAAAGATAATCCACATAGATAATAGAGAAAATTGGGTAAAAGAATAAACTGGGCATACTTCGGCACTGGCATGAAAATACGGATATTGTTTGATTAGAATTGGCTGGTATAAAAGTAAGAAAATCAATTTAAATTATGGAAAATATTTCCCTCTATTAAAGCTATGGTTCCTTGTCTGGATTTTGCTATACATATTGCTATTTATGGTGTGATCATCGCTTCAACGTTTGTATAAGGCTTTGATTTTCAAAATCTTGGAGGTGTTACATTTTTATAACGCAAACTTATTGTCACGACTTTGACATTTAGTGCCAGTGTTGATGTCCGAGTGTGATTAACCACTAACATAAGTCTTTATTGTGTAATGAGTTCACTTCTTCTTCTTTTTTTTTTTTTTTTGCTTTAGATTTCAAAGTCTTGTTTTAAAATAAATACATGGTTTAATAAAGAAAAAACATTCCAACTAATCAAGGAATTTGAACTTATAATAGGAACGATCATTCTATGAAGCAATTTTATCGTTGATTTGTTTCTGTGCATATGTCATCTTTTTTAGACGGTATCATATAGTATAAAGCGTGTTTTGTGTACACGTTTTCCAACTAATCTAGACAATCAGGGAGAAGTTGGAGTACTTTAAACCTAGTTTTGTCCAATAACTTGTTTTGGTTGTTGTTTGGTGTTTACTTTAGGTAAATTTTATCTTGATTTTTAAGATTGATTGCAATTTTGAACGATAAAAGAAAGGACATGAATTTGTGTCAAAAACAAATTTAATTTGTAAAAAATGCTTTTTTGTGTGAACAATGAACAATTTAGGATCTTCTGACGAAAAAATATCAATAAAGTATATTCAAATGAAAAAGATAAAAAAATCTAGTGACTGTTTTACTAATTCTTCCAAAGAAAGCAAATTTAACGACATAACGTCACATCTTACGTAAAGCCCAACACTGAAAAATACAGCGTGTATAATGTCCTTTTTAATTAAAAATAAAACACGTTACAAACAATAAGTTAGTATTCATACAATTCTATTTTACTATATAGTGCGCTGGTATACTATTAAGACACGTATTAAAAGCTAATACTTTAATATTGGTTTGATATATCAAAATTTTGTTTTCGATATTATCATGCTGAATTTTCTCAACTGTACGCTGCATTACAATGGGTACCAATCAGGACTTTAATATTTATGAATTATTAAATGTAGCTCCTGAGAAAAGGCACCAGTGAGGTATTTGACCCAACTACAAGCAGGTTTAAGTAATGTATCTTACGAGATCTGTGAGGTGATTTGTTCCCAACCAATAGCTGAAATTTCCATTATCTGCTGCAATATTGTGCTCTTTTATGTCTTGTAGGTTATTTTCCCAAGTTAATCGCCTTAAATGGAAATTACAAATTCTAAACTGCGTTATGTTACATTTATATATGGATTATAATTATCTGGAAAAAAAACCAGTTTCTGAACGATTCATAGCTTGACATATAGTATATTTAGACACTATACGTATATTGTCTTTATACTGAAATCGATAAAAAACATAAAAAAAAATAATAAAATACGTAACAAATTTATTGTTAAAAAAAAAGTGTATGGAATTTCCCTCTTGGGGTGCCATTGTTGGGTATTTCCCTATAAGCGTAGTAACTCATAAAATCCAGGCGATAAGACATTGACATTTTTAGGAATTAGAAAGAGAAAATAAACTAATTTAATAATATTTAATAAACATGGTATGTAAATTACGAATTTCAAGACATAACAAGTTTAAATTTACAAAAGTTTGACAATTGTTACTACACGTTGTCATGGTTGTGACGTGACATTGTTGATGAAATACAGTAGTTCCGGTAAGTAGGCGTGGCCAATAGGTAAGCTGAGGTCATTGGCGTATACAGCTAACGTTTATACGTATAGCTTTATCTGTATAGTAAAATAGCTGATTGCAGTATAAACATCTTTATAGTGTTAATGACTGTTGAATACCTTCTATATATCTTTTAATTTTTTTTGTCGTCGGATTGGTTTTTAGGTGTCATTCACGTTTGTTTAAAATACCCATTTACTAAAAGTAAATATGTATCCGAACCGAAACTGGGTCATATGCGTATGAAAAACAAAGTTTAAGGGATGTCTTAATTTTAAGTTTTTGTTATACGCTTAAATAATGTAGCTAGATTCAGATATATATATACTTTAAGTTATTCTATTAAAATAGAATAAAAGTATTACAGAAGTCACCAATTATATTGGACAGAACAATTAAACATACTAGCTACTGGTATATCTGACCCATAGTACACACAAAAGCTAACAACAACGGACAACACATGATAAAGACACCGCTAGCCTGACTTTCGCAGTATAATTTGTACTGATTAATGTTATAACAATCACTTCGGCGAATCTTTTGCTACAGAACTGTTAGTCGCCGAGGTTTTTATTAACCCACTAGTTCAGTACTTCGCTTATGACATTTGCATACGAACATCTTGGTTTTTTTTTCTCCATTAAGGAATGGATGTTTAAAAAAACCAATAATCCTTCCTTCTCTCCGTTGGTATCAGCACACACAAAAAGATGATACAAATCCTAATTTTTTTGTTTTTACTAAATTAAGTAATCTTTACTGCACTATATGCTGTTTAACAATACACTTAGCTTACAGAATTGAGCTAAGTTTCCCTGCGTATTAATTATTAGGTATCCATGGAGAATATCTAATAAAATATATATAAATGTTGGTTTTATACAATTTTTAACATAATACTTCATATAAATAAATATAAATATATATTGATTCATAAGATTTTATGTCTACTTACAAATCGGAAAAAATGACGGATCTACACCGTGTAACTGGAATTTGTAATTATTCTTTTCTAATAATGCGAAAGATTTATTTTTCAAACTTTATTGTTTAACCATGCTAATGGAAATACATATAAAGGTAAATGTATATAATTGTGTTCATTGCTAATCAAAAGGTTATGTTTTCAGCAATCCATTTTTGGCACCTCGTGGTCTATATTATTTATACACGGAAAGTAGTGTGTGTTG